GCATTTAAAGCTTAAAGAAATTCCAACCTTTTTTTCTGAATAAATCAACTAAAATGTTTGTAATTGATGTTGCATCACCATTCAAAAGTGAACATATTTTGAGAAATCTAGTTTTAATAATACCTTGATAAATATAACAATTAAATTTTTTGTTGTTGAAATATTATTACTCTCATCAATAATTACACCAATACAAGGAGATTTAGATATCTCTTCCCAAATATCATACTCAATTGTTTTAGAAACAGCTTCAAGTAATTCCTTTCCTGATTTTTCATTATTATAAGCAATAGATCCTTTTTGTAAATCAGGCACATTTAATTCATAGGCCAAATCAACAAAATCGTGAAAATTTTTCATGGAATGATTTTTTTTTTGCCATAAAATATATAATCTTCATAAGTGATATAATATGATTAGTAGAATTATCAGATGCTTTTTTCTGACATTCCTTCATTATTAAACTATCATTCTTAAGTTTAATTGCATCTTTGTGATTGTATAAATTTGCATGATCAAGTAAAGCTGAACTTTTTGTAAAATTTCTGGAACCTAAGTTGTAATAATTATCTTTAATAAAAATAAAATTTTTTATTTATAATAATAATATTTACCTTCTTGTCCAAATTTTTTTTTTATTATGGTTCTGGCATAAATGACAATGCATTTTTTCTTCATTTTTATTAAAAATTAACCAAGGAAATTTTTTTAACCACAGGCAGTTAAATGACCTTTTAGAACTTTTTGATGGAATATTATTTGTTTCTTGATTAAAAGTGCCATCATCATCAACAACAACAGAATCAGAATCAGTGTTTATATAACTACAAATTAAAAAATTAATTAAATGATTAATTTTACATAGCAGAGAAAAGACTACAGATATGACCAATAATAAATAACTTGCCAATCTTCTTCAGTAAATTTTGATTATTAAAAAGATCATCATTCTTTTCTTTACTGAAGCCCCAATTATTTTTATTTTTTTCTTTCATTTAAAGTAAAAGCTTGCTTACTTTGGTAAAGAATTTTTTTGGCCGATATTTTTTGAAGATTTCGGTAAATATTTCCCCCGATATTTTTGATCTCACATTTCGCACCCTGCAGGGAATAATTCGTTGCAACCAGATTTTTTATTTTAAACTTAATAGCAAAAATTATAAGGGTTTAAAATTTCATTACTTTATATATAATTTTCAAAATTTGCCGCTGTTTGAAATGCCAAGTCGCACAAAAAAAAATCACTTCTTTCAAACTTACAAAAAGCTAATGAAGCCCGTCGTTGATTCAAACTGCAATCAGCAAATCTTTGAATTAAAGCTCTATCTAGATAATACAAAAACATTAAATTTATATGCATAATTATAAGAACCTGAGCTATCAAATAATATAAATTTCATATAGTTATTATAAAGGTTTTGTGGAATTTTCGAAAAACTGCGTTTGAATACTTTCTTCGTATATTAATGTGATTTATGATAATTTTCTTAAATTTTATTGGCTAAAATTTATACACGTGATAAATTTTAAAACTCAAAATTTGCCGCCCCTCTTGTATCACTTTGATGACTTTTGCTGTCGCCCACTGTAGGATCTTTTCTAGGGTCTATAAAAAAACCATTTGGAATATCAATGATCTAATCTTGTTACACTAAACACGCAAATTATACAATGGTTTTGTAATAGCCTTTGTTTTTTCCTTCATTTTCTCAAAATATTTTAAAAAGTATAAAATGACTGAAAAATTTCAATCTATAACAGAAAATACTTTAAACCAAAGTAAACAATCTGATGAAAATAAAGAAGAATCTAAAGAATTAAACAATATGGTTGGTTTTGTTTAGGAACTTACCAGACTCTAAAGTTTTTAAAATACATTATTACCTAATGTAATTTAATTCTTGAGGACATGTATATTAAATTAAATATTATATACTCATTAATGATTATACTATTATGGGAACAGGAAAACGGTTCTACATTGGAAGTTGAAGAATTGGCTCGTCATGAAAGACGTCAAGAATTGAGATCGGCGAATTTGTTAGCTTGGAGACAAGGAAAGCCTGGTATGTATAACCCCTAGATTCTTGTTCTAGAATTCTATTCCGATTTGCATTTATTATTTAATATTATTAATATTATGCTTTTTTGATTGTTTTATTAGATTCGTCAATGTTTAAAAATCTCGATTCAAACATCAAGAAAAATACTGGTTTTATTAAAAAATGTAAAGCACAATTATCTGCCGAACATCAAAAAAGTTTATTGAAAGATATTCAAACCTTGACATTAGGGAAATATATATCTGAAGTAGTGGTAGCTGTGGTTGACGGTGTTCAAAAGTGTAAATCAACTGCTGATGTTTGGGCAGCTGTCGAAGTGAGTTTTGATTTAAATATAATTTTATGAGATTAAATAATTTTTAATAATAATAATAATAATAATTTTGCGAAATTTAGGTGATTTCAGTTTTACATCAAAGATTTCCTGACACATTTACACCTTTCTTAACTCATACACTAGCTCGTTCTCTTGCACCTCCATCTAAACAACAACTAGCTGCTATGGCTGCCGAACAAAGAGAGAAGGAAGAAATTAGTCGTATATCAAAACAACGTATATTGCTTAGAATAGCAGGAGAGTTGTGGCTAATGGGAGTTCTTAGGAATGTTGAAGATGGTATAGCCGCGTTGAATAGTGGAAGTGCTGCCGTAGGATCTGGAAGTGTGAATGGTGTTAAAGATAATGTCGCTGGATTTGTTAGCTCGCCGACCAAAGGACCTAAAGAAGTCAAGGAAGCAAAAACATCTGGTGACGGGTTCATGTATACAGTGTTGAAAGATTTGGTTGGTATAAAATTCCCTTTTGATCAATGATTTCCAAATAATTAGAAAATCTTTTTCATCTTTGTTAAATAATAATAAATAAATAATAGCTCTCTCACGATAGCAAACATGTCAATCTCCCGTTGGTTGTTTCCTTTTTGAAATATTTTGGCGTGGAAATGCTTGGCACTACTTCGCGTAGAACTCATCGTGATACGCTGGGTAGCTCTGCTACTACGACCAACGAAGAAACATCTACTGAAAATCAAGTCTCAACCGAGAAAATCGTAAATAATGGTGTTTCCAAACAGCAACAGCAACCAGATAACCCTGATCCAATTGTCACTCCTCAAAAACGAGAACTTTTTAAAAATTTATTAATCGATTATTTTAAAAGTATCGAGGCTCATCTTATTATGGATCATCAGGTATGTTCAAGAAATAAATTTTTTTTTAATAAAGAGTGTCTCTAATATCATGAATTCTTATATATATATATATATATATATATTTTATTGTGCGTAGACAATTAAAACTTTAGACCATAATAATCATGAATTCTATATCACCAAAGGTGAAGTTCCTGAAGCAACCAAGCAAAATTACGAAAAAGTTGTCAAGTTATTTGACAAATTTTTACAAAATGCTCAATTGTAAATTGTCGCTTCAATTTGTTCTTGTTGTGTTTTTTATTATATAAAGTTTTCTATTAATTCTATATGTTTTTTATAAATAGCCTTGCTGATTTTCTTGATATCGAAATGCCTGATTTACCTGATGAAGAAGGAATAACAAAAATGTCTACAATTATTCGTGATGGCACAAGCACAACTGAAAAAGAAGTATGATGTGCCTTTTCATTGTAATGAAAAAGGGTTGGCCATGATACTGGTCTCAATGGACCAGGTCTATTGCTAACCCTGTAATAAAAAGCAAGAATAACATTACCAATACTTATACTTTACGATTTTATAATACTTTGTAGGAAACATTTACTAGTAGTATCTGGGAAGATGAGGACGCTAGAAGTTTTTATGAGAATCTTATTGATCTCAAGACGCTTGTACCTGGTGTCCTACTTGAAGTCAAATCAAATAAAAAAGATGATGGAGATGCAGATAAGGATGACCCATCTAATTTACTTGACAAAGATGAAAAAGATGATGGCGACAAGAATAGCGAGTATAATTTGCCTGAAGATTGTAAAGGTAAATCATTAACTCAATATGTTACAATTGAAATTGTTGATGATTATATTGTACAAGGTGCTAATACTAAATTTGTCCAAGTCAAGATTATGAAGCAAAAGATTTTGAAAAAGAAAATGAACAAGCCGAAGAAGATACCTCAGGCAACTTAAAGAAGGAAACAGATTCTGCAAATAAAACAGGGACTTCTGCACAACTTGATGCTTTGTTATCACGTCTTCCACACATGATTAATCGTGATTTGATTGATCGGGCTGCAGTCGATTTCTGTTATTTAAATTCTAAGGCGTCTAGAAAGAAATTAATCAAGGTACAAAATGATTATTTTTTTAATAATAATAATAATTATTATTATTGTATTAATTGTTTTCATTCAATATACGTGTGCTTTTCTTTTATTGTTTAATCAGACTTTATTGGGAGTACCTCGCATTAGATTAGATCTTCTTCCGTATTACTCTCGATTGATTGCTACATTAAATCCACATTATCCTGATATAACATCATCAGTTTTGCAAGGGGTAAGATTTTTTTCTAAAGTTTTTTTTTTTTAATCAATTCGAATTAAATTTTTTATAAAATAAAATAGTTGGAGGGTGAATTCAAATCTTTACAAAGGAGAAAAACTGTTGATTTGCTTGAAACTAAAATTAAGGTTCATTGATAATTTATATTTTATATTTATAATTTATTTTGTGGTTAATTATAAAAGAATATCTGATAAGTATTGGCACTTTCAGTATTTACTAATAGGCTTTTAGACTATATGATAAAAATACTAAGAATATTATTAACTTATCAGTATGCTAATACCAAAATTATCTTTTTAAAGAATAATCAGATTCTGATATTTGCTAATACCCCATTACCCAATTTGGCATCATTTGACCAGTAAAGAGAGAACCAATAGATTATATATAAGCAAAGAAAGATGAGACCCTAAATTAGAAACCATAACAGCTTGATTGCTTGATTGACACAGTTGTGCAGTCTTGCAATTTTTTTATTGTGTATTTTAAATATACATCTTTAATAAAACAAACATGACTTAGCTATTTAATCATTTCCTTGTATGTGAATGCCTCCATCCATCAAATATTCATGATGGTCATGATTATTATTCAATACATTTGATATCATCATTGACATAACAAACAATTGCATCACCCAAGTAGTAATAATACCAAGGCCATGCATAAATGAAACTCTTAATAATGCATGTCTACCCAGATCTCTGGGATTCACAAAATAAATTATCTTTCCTCATTATCAATTATGGTTCCTTATGAATAATAAATCTGATGTTGATCACAGGTGTCAGATTTAATAAAAATTTCCTATCACAAACATGCAATCGCGATGCAATCAAGCACAATTCAGCACCATGGAATATTTTCCACAGGTGAAGGAGGGTTGAACACGTTGGAAGGCTTTGGACAAACTTTTACTTATCTTTCCCTCAGACCAGGCTTGACTGTTATCATATGGGCATTGATCACTGATAGCTGGTGCTTGTGTGATGATTGCTTTGTGTTATACCTCTCCAGTACAAAGTTGGTGTCCGCAACTGATTGAAAATTCTCCAACTCGGAGGTTACAACCTGGGTTGTTGTTTTGGTTTTTCCCTGAATTCGGAGTTTTGGGTCCTGAGTTCTGTCTAAATTCATCAGCAGAGTTGCGACTTGGCCACAGTGCCATCCTTCCCTAGAGGTGAGATCGTCGCAAGCAACTTTTCGGCTAGTGTGCCAGCAGCCTTCTCTGATCTGGGAAGATTAGTGAAAAACATCCTTGACAATTGATGCAATCTCGGCAAACTCCAGAGCTTTGCGCCCCCCCCTGAAAATTCAATTGCATCATTGTATCATCGGGAGCAGCGTAGTCAGATTAGCCTTGTGCACATGAGGAATACGTGAGAATGACTGTAAAGTGTTCAAGGCAGTGTGCGTGCTTCAACGTCTGCCAATTTCCGATAATCAAACGTTGCATATTTGAATTGTTTCAGTCATGCTGCCTTGCCTTCTAATTATATAATAATATTATTATTATTACGATTACGCAAAGCAAAATACCAAACATTCATTGTTGATAAGAATCTTATAATTACCCAGCAAGATCTGCTCCGCGTTTTGATTCCAATTAAAATATTTATAAACTAAAATAAAAATATCAATCAGTACAAATAAAAAATAGTATCTCTGGTTAGTTATTAACACGTTTTCTTTAGGAAACCCAAACCAAACCAAACAACAGCACTCACGTTTTGTCACCTTGAGCTCTGTCAAAAAATTAATTGTTTTCCCCAAAAAAAAAAAAAACAATTTGCGTCTGTCCTCCCAAAAAAAGAACCAATAGGATAAATAATTAATATGTACACGTCGATCAAATCACAACTACTATTCCTTTCTTTTCATAAATATTTAAAGATGCAAAAAGAAAATATTAAAAGAAGTAAACAAAATAAAGAATTTGCCGGGTAAGTGTTTATCAAAAGAATGGTGGTGGTGGTTATCGCCTGTCACTCGTCGTCACTCTAGTTACTTATTTATTTTTATTTTATTTATTTGTTTATATATTTATTTATTATTATAGTTTGAATCTTGACAAGTATGCCAAGATTGACAAAAAAATTGGCACTTTTCTCAAATATGCCCCTTGAAATATTCTTCCGGATTTGTGAAGATTTACCAACATCCGATTGTTGGCACTAATGCAAACGTGTTCAAGATTTCACCAAACTGGAGTGAATTACAATATATTAGATTCTTCCTTGCTTCACCTTGATCCTACATGTATTGTGGTATTATTGAATCGACTGAAATACATTGACAGTTTCGTGTAAGATGCTGTACTAAATGTTACAGTACAAGAACCATTATAAGAAAGTAAGTAATTATATAAAGTTTAATTGATAAATAATCATATTTATTCATTTATTTATTTAACAATTTCAGAGAAAAGTCTATTAGAGGTGATGATTCAGGATTACGTTATACATTTCAGAAAGATGGAATGAGGGTACATTTCTGGCGAAAAGATGTTGATGTGAATTTTGTTAAAGCTCATGATGAGGAAGGTAAAAAAATGTTTGAGGTTCAAAAAAAATTCATGGAAGAATGTGAGGATCGTAATAAAGAATGCGGTTTGTATATGAAAAGATCAAAAAGACTTATTGGGGAAATCAACAAACTTGTTGATAAAATTCTTAAGGAGGGGAATTAACATTAAAATATGAATCTCATTATATTCAATCTCATTTCACTTCATACAAAAGAGCGATTTTCTATCTTGCTGAGGTTAAGGTTAATAAACATAAACAACCTTCAAAAGAGTACTTGAAAAGATTAAAAAATCAAATAATCTATGAAGCAGAAAAGCCACACCAACAGGAACTTATATTGAAATACTTGTTAAAAAAATGGCCTCACCTTGGACATAATAAACAAGTTGCTAAAACATTCTCTGAAGTGATAGCTAATCCTCTTAGATACTCTCAAGTTGATCTCTACATGATTCTTCAACATTGCCATAGTTATAAGGACACACCAATATATCAAGTTGATTCCTAAACTATTTATTCTGAGAGTTACCTTAAAGATCAAGTAGTACCAGTGTTAGAAGAAGAAGCAAAAAACTTTATTCTTATTTCCCTGAAGGAAATATTATTACAATAAAATCTGCAATTATTATGGGTATCAAAGCACCAATTTTTTATATGCATGTTGTTAGATTGCGAAGGAGAAGAAAATATTCATCATTATTCACCAGAAGATATTGAGCATCATCTTAATACCAAATATACTTCATTTTTTGAGCAAATTGTGGCAGAACACAACAAGGTCTGGGTATGTTTAAATTTATTTGGTGATGATGATAAATGCAAAGATCAAATATCACAAGAAACATGCCAGAATGAACATAGATCTATTGAACACAAAAGAAAACATGAAGGGATTAATAATGGTAATAAACATCAAGAAGAAGAACTTCAAACTAATAATCAATTTCAAAAATTACAAGAAACATGCCAGAATGAACATAGTAGATCTATTGAACACAAAAGAGAACATGAAGGAATTAATAATGGTAATAGACATCAAGAAAAAAGACCTCAAACTAATAATCAACTTCAAAAATCACAATAAACATGCCAGAATGAACATAGATCTATTGAACGCAAAAGAAAATGTGAAGGAATTAATAATGGTAATGAATATCAAAAAAAAAGACCTTGAATGAGATCTGATTATAAAAAAATTACTCGTGTGTAAAAAAAAATTAGCATTTTTATTATTAAAACAAATAATGCATATGTGTATATATATATATATATTAATTAAATTATAAATAAAAAATTAAATTTCCTTTTGCATCTTCAATTAATTGGTTTCTCTTGCTATATTTAAATTGTGTGTGAAAAAAAGTAGCTTATATTCGATTGTTTGTACATCAAGAAATTAAAAAAATGTTGTTCAACACATTGATAGAAGATGTAAATTTAATATGATAAACATGACGCCATTTTTAGCATTAAACGATGCGTGGTGTTGTTTGATGCCTTGTTAAGTGTTGTAAATTTATTATATAAAAATTTATAATATTTAAAGTATTTATATTGGGTTTTCCAAAACATACTACTAAAAAAAATGTAATGGATTTATCAATTTATTTACATATGTAAACACTCGATAAGTCGGTTTACTCAATAAGTCGGCCAAAATTTTCACCCCATTTTCTTAATATTTAAGTAATTTAATTCGATAAGTCGGTTTACTCGATAAGTCGGTCATATGAGCTCACTCCCACATGACCGATTTATCGAGTTTACATATGTACCACATTTTTATGAAATGCTATCAATATTTCCAATAAGCTTGGTCTTTGTGTGATTTCGCAATATTACAGACAAGTTTTTTACATTTAAATTTGTTAATTAATCACTAATAAAAAAATTATATATATTTGTTTTTTAGCATTTCGCATATTTTCATATTTCTAATTATCCTTTGTTTATGCTACTCTCAAAATGTCAGCAAGGCGTCGCAGAAAATGTAGTGATACTGACGTACCTGTAAATCTACAACACCTTTATCTATCAAAGAAACACTTGGTCGTGTGTATGCTGATTGTAATTCTACTTTATTGTTGATTATTTTAAGTTAAGAATACTAGCGCCAAATGACAACAATAAATGTAATATTTTATTATTTTATTACCTGCAAATTTTTTTATCATCATCAAAAATGTCGTTGATTCTATTCATGATCAGATTGGTAAAAATCACCACAAAAACTAATGAAACAGTCTCTGGCGAGGTGGTGTTTTGGCTAAATGAGAGATTTCGGTTATTTAGAATTCAAGATGTTTAATGAATATTTATTTCATGATATAATTATTAATCTAATTACTCAAATTTCAGACCATATGTTCGTTTTCATTTTCAGCACGTCAAGCATGTACAGTCCTTGCTGAGGCCACCTTAACAAGATCATCACGGCACTTTTTATCTATTGGTAGGTATATTGCACCGGGCATCTCGTTTTCCATATCCTCTAACTCTTTACTTGTATATGCTGGTCCATACTTTTTAATTTCTTGTTTATATATCAATACCCAGCTATCTTCATGCCCATTGAATGTACCCCTATCTAGATTGTCAAAGAAGGCGATCATATTAAATCCTGTTTCGCCATCAAATTCCAAAGCATCTTCACCTGCTATGTAAAAAAAAGCTGTTCCTCTGTCATGTACATTCATTGAAGCAGGCCATTTGAAGTCAGGACCTACACGATCTACAAGGACATTATGTTAAATTATCGCAAATGTATTACTTGTACACTAAACTGAAAATTTCAGCTTTACCTAGAAATTTCAGAGCTTGCCCTGGACTTGTTTCATATTTGAGAAGAGAACTAACGGTCTCAGGTGGATTGGAAATTGGCATAGGTTAATCAAGCTGGTTGGGTGCTATATCAAGTGTTTATTGAGAATGAATTTTGATCATTTAATAACGATGGAATGTTAATGACAAAGCCAAACCTTTTTTTTTCCTTTCTTTAAAAGCTTGGGTATCTTGAATATACTCTCTCTTCCTGTAACAAGGATAATAAATAAGAAAAACGGTATAGATTTGGAAGGTTCAATATATTTTTGGTGTTTACCTTTCTTTTTTCGTTAGAAGCAGACATGATCAAATAAATTTCATGAAACTAATCAAAGTTAATATGTCTGTAATGAAATTACATCACAATTACACTGATATTTTATTGATGTTATCTGTGTACCTTAACAGTCACAGAACATGTCACGCAGATCAATAGTAATAGGGAGTTAGTTGTACAGTCAACCCTCCATAAGTGCACCAGACAAGACCGTGCACTTATAGAACAAAAGTATTTTATTGGTGTTATTTAAATGTCAATGTTCCTTCAAAAACTCCTAACCCAGTTACGATTTGCTTGGCCTTTTCAACTAAAATAGCATCACTTAAGATTAAGCGTCAAGTTCGTTTCATTGATTCCCTCAACCACGTCAATACAGAGGAAGGACCAACTCCATTCATGATTTTTTCACCAAGGGGCATTATGTGTAAGCCACAATCAAAGGAATAACTAATCAAAACTTTGTGTTATGTTTTGACCGCCCTTAAGGCATCTATTATCTTTCATTTCATCCATTGTTTGCTATCTTGAAAATGTAGGTATTTTATAAACGAATATCCATTCTCAGGCTCTCCACAAAATGAAAATCATGCATTGCGATCTCTGTTGGGATAATGTGTTAAAGTCCATAGATCGAGACAGTTGGTTCATTATTGATTTTGATGATGCATGCCATGCTCCTTCAAATATTCCTAACACACAATTAGCTAAAGAAAGTCATGCACCTGAGATTTTTGAATTCCATCACAATGAGAATGTTGATATTTGGTCTGTTGGGTATTTGATTCAGACAGCCTCTGTTGAGCTTCAAGGATTGGATGAATTGAAGTTTATGCAAGAATGAACTTGATGGCAAAGGATAAATTTAATAGACCAACAGCCAAAGATGCTTTGCGGTGGCTTTGGAGCAAATATAGAGATGTTCTTGAGGATTTTTTGAAAGAGGAGGAAATGGAAGAATCATAATTCAGTTATTAATAAAAATGTGAAATAGCTACATCTGTAATAATTTTCAGGGGATTAATTTTTTAAATGCTTGAGTCATCTGCAAAATAATATAATGATTCAAATTCTGCCCAAATGGGTTGTTGGTTTAGATTATATGGCAGGGTTGTGTAATTTATTTTTAGCATTTTAATAAAAAAAATCTTTGCACACACTTGTGATAATTTTTATGATGATTGTGTGGATCTGTTGATTGCTTATTAATATTAGGCGTCCATCCTAACATAATTTTTTCCAGATTTACTAGAATTCACAAATGATATCTTCTTGACATTACACATTCATGGAAGCCCACTCGAAATCTGAATTTAATTCTTGGACCACTACAAAACATATAAAAATGGAGGTAGGTTTCACTAGTTGATCCTTTTATCCACTTTGCTTAAATCAAACGAAAATTCAATATTAATACAACTTATCTTTTGTAAAATTATCAACCATCAAAATCCAGTAGTTAATCTACTACTACAAATGTATTTAGTGGAATCTTTCTTAGAGACGGCATGAAATAGTTAATATTGTCTTTTCCATATCATATTGATGAATTCGATAATCAATCAGATAATTATTATGCTGTGTGACATCACGGGCTGTACGATATCATAATAATGCATAATTTAATTGTGCAATTAACCAAATTCGACTAATCACCCATGATACATATACATTTTCTTTGTGAGAAATTTTTGGCGTAAATACATGCATTACTTTATACTAATACATTATCTTTTTTTCTTCCAGAAATTCGTCGTTTAAAATACCTAAATGAAACCAGAAAGAGAAAATGCGAAACCGTTTAAAAAGGGTAGTATTTCGAGTTATGAATATTTGTTGCTTTTATAGTGATTTACTGAATTCTTATTCTTTATATTTAAAAAAAATCTTATCCCTCTAAAACTATTATCAACATGTCAAATTTAGTAATAAAAATTGAAAATTTTTGTTGGAAGGATCATTCGAAGCTATCTGTGGTGCGACAGTTGTTTATTTGACAATGGAAGGTACTATTATTCCTCCTTATAATAGCATTAGAGACTTAGCAGACCGTGTGGTTAATTCAGCATTAACAAAAATAGAAAATACTGAAAGAAGAACGAAAGTATTAGAAGTTTTACCTCAGGTTAGTGTTATATACAGTGTGATTCAAAAAAAATGGTGGTTTGTAAAATATTGTTTTTAATGAAAAAGTAGCCAAAATTATGTAA